TAGGGGTGACAGTGGACGAGAAGCTGGATATGAGTCAACAGTGTGCCCTTGTTGCCAAAAAGGCCAATGGCATTTTGGGGTGTATAAGTAGGGGCATTGCCAGCAGATGGAGGGATGTGATCGTTCCCCTCTATTCGACATTGGTGAGGCCTCATCTGGAGTGCTGTGTCCAGTTTTGGGCCCCACACTACAAGAAGGATGTGGATAAATTGGAGAGAGTCCAGCGAAGGGCAACAAAAATTATTAGGGATCTGGAACATATGACTTATGAGGAGAGGCTGAGGGACCTGGGATTGTTTAGTCTACGGAAGAGAAGAATGAGGGGGGATTTGATAGCTGCTTTTAACTACCTGAAAGGTGGATCCAAAGGGGATGGATCTAGACTATTCTCAGTGATAGCAGATGACAGGACAAGGAGTAATGGTCTCAAGTTGCAGTGGGGGAGATTTAGGTTGGATATTAGGAAAAACTTTTTCACTAGGAGGGTGGTGAAACACTGGAATGCGTTACCTAGGGAGGTGGTGGAATCCCCTTCCTTAGAAGTTTTTAAGGTCAGGCTTGACAAAGCCCTGGCTGGGATGATTTAGTTGGGATTGGTCCTGCTCTGGGCAGGGGGTTGGACTAGATGACCTCCAGAGGTCCCTTCCAACTCTGATATTCTATGATTCTGTGATTCTAAGGGCTGGCAGCTTGAGGGAGCTGACATCCAGCTACCACAAGAAAGCCTCCCTCATGCCGGAGGCAGGAGTGTAACAAGTCCTGTGTACCCTGAGAAAGCCTCACATAAATATTCCTAGTTTTTAAACCTTTCCTCATAGGTCAGGTTTTCTAAACCTTTTATCATTTTTGTTGCTCTCCTCCAGACTTGCTCCAGTTTGTTCACATCTTTTTTATATTCAATTTGTGATCCACTATAACCCCCAAATCCTTTTCAGCAGTACTGCCACCGAGGCAGTTATTCCCCATTTTGTAGCTGTGCATCTGATTTTTCCTTCTTAAATGAAGTATTTTGCAGTTGTCTTTATTAAATTTCATCTTGTTGATTTCAGACCAGTTCTCTAATTTATTGAGGTCCTTTCTAATTTAAATCATATCCTCCAAAGTGCTTGCAACCCCTCCCAGATTGTCAGCTGCAAATTTTATAAGTATACCCTCCACCCCATTATCCAATGAAAAATTTTGAACAATACCTAACCCGGACAGACCCCTGTGGGGGTCCACTAGATACGCTCTCCCAGTTTGACAGCGAACTATTGATAATTACTCTTTGAGTATGTTTTTTCAACCAGTTATGTACCTGCCTTAGAGTAATTTCATCTAGATCACATTTCTTTAATTTGCTTATGAGGATGTCATGTGAGATTGTGTCAAACACCTTACTAAAATCAAGATATATCACATCTACAGCTTCCCATCATCCACCAGGCCAGTAACCTTGTCAGAGAAGGAAATTAGGCTGTTATGACATGAACTGATCTTGACAAATCCATGATGGCTATTACTAATCACCTCTAGTTGCTTACAATTTGATTGTTTAATCATTTGTTCCTGTATCTTCCTAGGTATCAAAGTTAGGCTGTTAATGTTTAATGACTACGAAAAGAAACATGCGTAGAATATACAAAGAGATTTCAGTCTATATCACAGTTTATAGAAGGAGACAATTAACTGACTCATATCCCTATACTGAGCAATATTCTTACAGGAGTTCATGTTACCTTTTGAAATTACTTCCAGAACTGTGCACACCAATATAGACTGACAGTCAGTAATAACCAAAGTCATGTTCTACCCAAATGATATAATGAAATTCTTTAAGGCATGTGCCGTAAATAGAGCTTAGCAAATAGTAGAAAGAATTGTGCACAAATATTCATTTGAAAGCAAATTTCAATTTGATTGTCCACAAATTTTTATTTGATTTCTTATGTTCACTTCCAATGAACATTCGATCTCTTGAATTACATTAGTGTGAATTCTTACAAAAAATGAAGTTTTAGATGGAATATTTGTAAAAAGTGAATTTCAGATTGTATATTTGATTCTAAATTCACCATTCATGCTTTCCTGGATAGTTACATAAATCATCCAATCACACAAAAGATATAAGACATAAAATACAATACCACTCAATGTTTTATAACATACAACCCAAAAAGCAGAGATCTGGCTTACCTCTCTGATATCAAACCATTGTTTCCCCTCTTGTCTGCAATCGCCCTCTGCTGGCAGGGTAGTTTTTGTCTCAATTCCATCTCTGGCTGTTTGAGTGATTTGATGTGGTCTAGCTCTCCAGCCAAAGGCCTTGTGACAGTGCATGGCCTTCTGCTACTGACTTCTCATACAAATGACTCTAATGCCTCCAGTTTCTAAACATCAACATGTAATTTGTGTTATCTCAAACACCACCCCTTTACAATCCTGTGCAGCAATTCTATTTACAACAACATATAAACATCATCCCTTTTTGCCAGAGGAAAGAGATCTGTCCACACAGAAAACTCCCTTTATCTTGGTTCTGCTAGCCCCTTTGCCTTCCTCTCTCCCTCTCTCACTTTCTTTCTCTCATCCAACACTTTGCACTTCCTTCCTGTGCTTTTCAACTTTTCCACTTCATGGGTTAATTAGCTTCTTAGCTCCGAGCGTCTGATTTTTGGGGGCTGTGGGGGTGGTGCCTGCAGGCATGGGCAGTGCACAGAGCCCCCTGTCCTCTCTGCCTGGGAGCCGGACATGCTGGCTGCTTCCGGGAGCCACGCAGAGCCAGGGCAGGCAGGGAGCCTGCCTTAGCCCTATTGCATCACAGACCGGGAGCTGCCTGGGGTAAGCGCTGCCTGGCCAGAGCGTGCACCTCGAAACCCCTTCTGTACCCCAACCCCCTGCCCCAGCCCTGAGTCCCCTCCCACACCCAAACTCCCTCCCGGAGCCCACACCCCACATGCCCCCCTGCACAACAACCCCCTGTCCCAGCCCTGAGCCCCCTCCTGCACCCCAAGCCCCTCATCCCCAATCCCACCCCAGAACCTACACCCCTAGCCAGAGCCCGGCTCACCCTCTCTTGCACCCCAACCCCCTGGTGACAGAGGAAGGGGGATGGAGTGAGCAGGGTGTGGGGGCCTTGGAGAAGGATCTGGGCAAGGGTGTTCAGTTTTGTGCGATTAGAAAGTTGGCAACCCTATAGCTCCACCCAGCTCAGGCATCACTCAGTTGGGTCCTTCTCTGGGGGGCACTAATTGGATTTATAGTGACCAGAGAGCTGTTTCTGATGCTGATTCTCAGCACTGTGTCACAGTCCTCCCATTTTATGGTATCAAATAAGTCCAAACAAACAGCAACAAAATAACCACAGTTCTTCACCCTCTCCAAGCTAACAGCTGTTTGTTCAGGATCCACACTGGCCTTCACCCTAGCATGGGGGTTACAAAAGGATTTCCAACCTCTCTGGAAACTTTGCTTTGGGATCTGTAAATATAAGCCTGTGCACACACCAGGCCTCAAGCCCCAAGCACTTCACTTGCTTCAAGCCATTTCCTTCTTCTGCTTTCTCCTTACATTTAAATCTCCCCTCCCCACCCACTCCCCCTGGGTTATCCAGGGGTCACACGCAGTCCTTTACCCAAGCAAATTCTTACTCCTTCCTTGGTTCCTTTGCTTGTCTCTAGGCCTGCTCTCAGACCTCTTCATCCACACAGCTCCTGGTGGGCAGCTTCCCCAGCTCTTTTAGTGGAGAGCCCCTCACCAGATATTTCCCAAATCCCAGTCCTTGGTCTCTCTCAAATTGAGACAACTAAATCCTGCCCCAATTCCTAACAGGCCTTGCTGTCAGTCATTTGCTCCTTTCAGGAACTGCAGAATTACAGTGGTTCCTAGGATGAACCAAGGACATGTCTATGGCTGGCCTGCACCCTCCCTCAAAGGGCCACTGCACCCCACTGCACAGGGATACTATCCACAAAGTCTCCTGAAACTGATGAGCATCATCTGAATAAGACTTTGAAAGTTGACTTTGACTGAAGAAAGCATTTTAAAGTACAAGTTTTATTCAACTAAATACGCTGCAAGTTATTCACACAACTTTATCAAGACTGGGGTTTGAAAGACAGAAAATAAGGTACAAACACATAGAGATTTCCTACTGAAAAGTCACAGACAAAAGAGTGATGTGCTTAGGCCAGCCATTGTGCCTATCCTGTTTCCATTACATTGCTTTATGTGATGTACCTACTACTGCTTTATGAGTTTAGAACAGGAAATCAAGGATCAGAACCCATCTTGACAAGCAGTCTTCTTAAAAGAAGAAAGAAATTGTTGGAAATGCATTGTCATATTTGCATTGTAGTTTAATCATTTTTATGATCGCATAGTATGGCGTGGTGCTCCTTTCAGAGGTTAGATATTTGGCAAGAGCAGTATGGAGAGTTGGATTTCCAGAAAAGCAGTTTCATTGCCACATTGTAGCTCAATGGGAAGATGCTATTGCAAATCAGACAGCTAGCCATCTTAATCCAATAATTTCTTCCAGCAATCAACTGTGGGCACCAAAGTGGAGGTTCTCAAATCCTTACAAATATATTGAATATACAAATAGAAAAAATGACATTTTCCACACTCTGTTATTTACTGTGGGCACTATATTTCTGTTAGTTCCTATTCTAAGTGTAGGGAATATCATACATACTACAGTAAATTTAATTACTCTGGGTGCTAAATGTCAAGATTTTAATAGTACCTACTGTACTTGCAAAAGTTATGCTGTACATTATTAGATGGTTCTCAAATCTTTTGTTGCTGATTAAAATAATTTCTCTAATTTTTAGTTTAGAAGAGGGCTGGCTAGCTGGATATGTCTGCTAATAGTGCACTAAAATGTCCTGTGGATGTGTAATGCTCTCAGTCTTCATTCAGAAGGTAGGTGAAGCACTTTCCACAACAGTCACAACAATGAAGACCCTACTAGCATCCTTGACTGCAGAGATGAGCTGTCATGCAACAGTTGATGCACCATGGAATAGGAGACACAGTATTAGTGGCTGACAAGGGCACCCACAATCAAGAATATAGTAAGTGTGACTGCTATATGTGTACATTTAATTGATTAGAATACAAGGGGAATGAGTTGTTAATTTCAGCCAATTCCTTCCTGGACATTTGTCCAAACATTAAAAACATTATTGTTGTCATATAGGCTGTGACCTGAAAACAACTATGCACATGCTTAACTTTACTCTCATGGGGAGTCCTATTGACATCTATAGGACAACTCATGTAAAGTGTGTGTTTGATGGGTCAGGGCATAGGTACCAACTCCGTGGGGGCTGTGGGGCTGCAGCACCCTCAGGGAAAAATTAGCAGGTGCTCTGCACCCACCGGCAGCCAAGCCCCCTCCTTGCCGCCTCCTCTCCCGAGTGTCAAGGTTCCTCCCCCACTCTGAACTCTAGGGTACAGATGTGGGGACCTGCATGAAAAAACCCCCTAAGCTTATCTTTACCAGCTTAGGTCAAAACTTCCCCAAGGTACAAAATATTACACCCGTTATCCTTGGAATGGCCGCTACCACCACCAAACTAATACTGGTTACTGGGGAAGAGCTGTTTGGACGCGTCTTTCCCCCCAAAATACTTCCCAAAACCTTGCACCCCACTTCCTGGACAAGGTTTGGTAAAAAGCCTCACCAATTTGCCTAGGTGACTACAGACCCAGACCCTTGGATCTTAAGAACAATGAACAATCCTCCCAACACTTGCACCCCCCCTTTCCTGGGAAATGTTGGATAAAAAGCCTCACCAATTTGCATAGGTGACCACAGACCCAAACCCTTGGATCTGAGAACAATGAAAAAGCATTCAGTTTTTACAAGAAGACTTTTAATAAAAATTAGAAGTAAATAGAAATAAAGAAATCCCCCCTGTAAAATCAGGATGGTAGATATCTTACAGGGTAATTAGATTCAAAAACATAGAGAACCCCTCTAGGCAAAACCTTAAGTTACAAAAAAGATGCACAGACAGAAATAGTTATTCTATTCAGCACAATGCTTTTCTCAGCCATTTAAAGGAATCATAATCTAACACATACCTAGCTAGATTACTTACTAAAAGTTCTAAGACTCCATTCCTGTTCTGTCTCTGGCAAGAGCAGCATACAGACAGACACAGACCCTCTTTGTTTTTCTCCCTCCTCCCAGCTTTTGAAAGTATCTTGTCTCCTCATTGGTCATTTTGGTCAGGTGCCAGCGAGGTTACCTTTAGCTTCTTAACCCTTTACAGGTGAGAGGAGCATTCCCCTGGCCAGGAGGGATTTCAAAGGGGTTTACCCTTCCCTTTATATTTATGACACGCCCCCCAAATCTCAGCTAGGGTGAAACACTGGCTGGGATTTCTTCCTGGAGCTCTAGGAAAACAGAGTTAATAAGACACATGCATCTCTAAATATACTACCAAGTACATAAAGACTAACAATATTTTCCACATCTCAAGGACGATTTTAACCAGTTGATTCTGGGAAACTTTCACGGGAGAGTGCATCAGCCACTTTGTTAGAAGCTCCTGAGATGTGTTGGATGTCGAAATCAAAATCTTGGAGAGCTAAACTCCACCGAAGAAGTTTTTTGTTAGTTTCTTTGACGGTGTGAAGCCACTTTAGTGCAGCATGGTTGGTTTGCAGGTGGAAACGCCGTCCCCAAACATATGGGCGTAGCTTTTCCAGAGCGTAGACAATGGCATAACATTCTTTTTCAGTGACTGACCAGTTGCTTTCCCTCTCAGACAGTTTTTTGCTGAGAAACACTACAGGGTGGAATTCTTGATCAGGTCCTTTCTGCATTAAAACTGCTCCCACACCATGCTCGGATGCATCTGTGGTTACTAGGAACGGTTTGTCAAAGTCTGGGGCCCTTAGTACAGGGTCAGACATGAGTGTCGCTTTAAGCTTGTTAAAGGCCTTCTGACACTTTCCAGTCCACTGAACAGCATTTGGCTGTTTCTTTTTGGTTAGGTCTGTCAGTGGGGCAGCGAGGTTACCTTTAGCTTCTTAACCCTTTACAGGTGAGAGGAGCTTTCCCCTGGCCAGGAGGGATTTCAAAGGGGTTTACCCTTCCCTTTATATTTATGACAGGCTGCAGCACCCTCAGGGAAAAATTAGCAGGTGCTCTGCACCCACCGGCAGCCAAGCCCCCTCCTTGCCGCCTCCTCTCCCAAGAGTGCTGCATCCCTCTCCTCCCCCTCCCAGTGCTTTTCGCCTGCCGCCTAACAGCTGTTTGGCGGCGTTTAGGACTTTCCGGGAAGGATGGGGAGGAGTGGGGACACGGCATGCTTGGGGGAGGAGGCAGTAAAGAGGCGGGAAAGGGGGTGGAATTAGGGTGGGGAGAGGGTGATGCAGGGGTGGGGGGGTTGAGCACCCAGGGGGCAGAAGGGAAGTCGGCGCCTATGGGTCAGGGCCTAAATGGCAAAAATCATAAATGCCTCAACTGGTTTTAATCTGAATGGTTCCATTCAAGTCAATTTACACTGATTTACACTACCTTACGGTCTGGACATATGTACAAGGACATGTGTCTAGTAAGGAACAGGATGAGATCATCAAACTCATGTCTCTTATAGTCTAATCCAGTGGTTCTCAACAGGGGTGCTTGTACCCCTGGGGGTATACAGAGGTCTTCCAGGGCAGCATATCAACTCATCTAGATATTTGCCTAGTTTTACAACAGGCTACATAAAAAGCACTAGTGAAGTCAGTACAAACTAAAATTTCATACAGACAATGACTTGTTCATAGTGCTCTATATACTATACACTGAAATGTAAGTAGAACATTTCTATTCCAATCAATTTTATTTTATAATTATATGTTAAAAATAAGGTAGTACGCAATTTCAGTAATAGTGTTCTGTGACACTTTTGTATTTTTGTCTGATTTTTTTAAAGTAGTTTTTAAGTGAGATGAAACTTTGGGTACGCAAGACAAATCAGACTCTTGAAAGGGGTACAATACTCTGAAAATATTAAGAACCACTGGTCTAATCAATCCACTATACATATAGCAACTACTAGAGCCCATGTTTACCACTACAATGCTCTCTATTCTACCTCACAATGTTGATGTCAGTGGGACTACTCATGAAGATTAAGTTAAGCATCTGCATTAGAATTTTTATGATGGGGGCACTGATGATTGGCAGGCTGTCCAGGAGAGACCAAGTACTGAAACAACAAAGGATTTTGAAAGTCAGGACTGAGGCTACATATGGAAATTTGCACAGGTTCTGGCCACTACAAAAATTGCCTAAATTTCTTTTTTATAATTGCCACAAAGCTCAGAATATAAACACATAAAACCTTAACATTCTGTAGCAGTCTGGTTTTTATATTTTCCTTTTTCTGCCCCATAAAAGTCTGCACTATAAAGAAAAAACTGGTGGCATGTACTTAACAGTAGACATAGTTTCAGTCTTTGGATCTATATTAATCCTTCAAATTTCTCTCTCACAGTTTATGTCGTCATTCAGATTTTACTCTGGACCATCTACCCTTTCCCATATGTTCCTAGAAGGAAATGTGCATGAATCAGGAACACTGCAAGACATATGATATTCAACAATAAGAAATATTTTCAAGGGACCCAAAAGAAAAAAATCTAATGAAAATTCTAGCTGGCTTTCAGTTTTATTCATTCATACAAAATACGTAAACATCATTAATTCAAAGTTTTTAGTCATGGGAAGAAACTTCTTTTGCTTTTCTTGTAATTTATTTTCTCAGAATCAGAGATTTTACTGTGGATTTTTTTTATGCCTTATGATTACTTACATTTAAGTGTTTTATTTATCTTGAACATTGCACTCCATTTATAAGGATTTTTAAGCGTTATGCAGACCAACATCCTAAAGGTTCTACAGACAAGTCTTGGTTTTTTGATGTTCAATAAATGTAGAAGCATGTGTGATATGCAATGGGTGCCTGTATGAATTATATTACATCAGGTTATGTATGTATCAAATAACATGATGTAATTATTTGAAACAACAGAATGTGATATTCATGGCCCATCAGCTAGAAGACTGCAAATGATCTACAGGTAATTGTCTGAACACAATATAATGGTTCCCAGATATTTTTCCTATGGACTGTTTAAGAGTAAAGCTAAATATGCTGCAGCTGACCTTGCTGATTCCTCCCTTGCGACCCTATATACAGGAAGATCCTGGAAGAATGAGAGAACAGTTTGCTACTGCAGTCAGAGCACAGAGAGCAAAAACCTGGTCTCCAGGGGCTAGTGTGCCCATGAATCAGAAGGCGAAGGCAATAGAAAGGGAGATAGCAAAAACAGAAAAGACAAATCATGTGAATTATGTAAACCAGATTTTCATTGTGAGTAAGTCAAAAATGTTCCATTAGTCTGTTTGGGCTTGTAAAACTTGGCAAAAAGGTAGTTTATTTGAATTCAACTCCCATAACCAAACTAGCAACCCTGACAAGAGGAAACCAGAGTTTTCGCAAAAAGAATTTTTACATTTTTTTTCTTTAAGCCCAACATTTACAAAAACTGCCTTACAGAGACTTTGCCCTACTTCTCATTGATAAACAATACTTCTTGTAAACCCCTCCAAATGTGATCCTACAGATAGATACAGCTAGAAATTCAATCATTGCTAGCTTTGTTTAAAAATAGAGGGGAAATGGCCCCAGGCTCCCCTCTGTGTTTGTATGTGAAGGGAAGTCTGCTGAGTGTGGAAATTGCATTTTGAGGGCTCAGTGTGGTCCACAAATCTAGAGGGAGCAGGAAGGGGCAGGGCAGAGGAATGGGCTGGTTTCCTCTGGGTTCTCCCCTGTGCCCTGAAAGCATAAAGCTGTATTAACTGGTGCTACTTCCCCCTCTGTGCTGCAGAATTCCAATATGGCGGTTGCCCAGGGGGCAGTCACAGTTGGGGAATCCCTTCCGAGCAGTGCTTAATTTGTAATGAAAGGAGTACCAGGGATCAAGCAATTATTTTCCTTTCATAACTGACATGACAAGCCTAGAGGTGCCAGGGCTATGAATTGCCAAGCCTAGAGGTGTTGGGGCTCAGCCTTGGCAAACCCTAGCACAAATTACGCACTGCCTCTAAGCATGACATTTTGGGGTTCAATATGAGGTGGTAGGGCCAAATAGTAGTGGGGAATCCATAACTTCTTTTGAAAGGGGAACCTGCTTCCTTACAAAAGAATTCATAGGAAATGGATTTGAAACTCATGGAAGCACCTATCCTATCTGTAGGAAACTCAAGCATAGGAGAGAGTGGAGCTGATATAAATTAATTGTGGGGACAGGATTATTTTAATTTTGCCACTGATGTCCAAAGAGGAGCAAGGTTTTTATTCCAAAGTCCTCGGTGGTAGAGCTGATAAAAAATTGTTAAACAACAAGATTTTTCAATGAAAAATGGCCTTGCTGAAAACAAACAAAAATTGCAAAAAGCCTATTCACTTTTCAAAATTTGTCACAAATTTTTCTCTACATTTTATCCAAAACATTAATTTTTTTCACTAACATCTCATTTTTTGTTTATGAATGTGTTTTTTAAACTCATGTCTGATTAAAAATGGATTTTTAAAAAGCACAACAAATTTAAGAACAATCAAAGTTTCAAACCCTGAAAATTTTGAAAACATTCAATTTGTTTTCATTTTGCGACTAGTTCTACTTTGTAACATGCTAGGGACCTAATCTTGAGAGGTGCTGAGTCCATCATTATTGCATGGACTCAGCAACTCTCAGGATTAGGCTCACATCCACCAGCCCAGTGAGCAAAAAAAAGTTGAGTGATGATATCTCATGCTCTGTTTCAATGCATTTTACAGAACCAATGAAAACACATTTGTGCTTTTCTAATGGATGACTTTCTATTCATTTTTGTAAATCTCAAATTGACTCAACACATTCAGGGGGTGATTCCAAAAGCACCTTATAGAAAAGCAATGGGATTTGTGTTCCTAAATCCCTCATGCATTTTTGAGTCTCCCCCTCATCAAATACATTAATGAATAAATCCAGTTAAGAAATTGCAACATTAATGAACTTTCACATGAGATCCTGCCATTTTAGCTGCACTCAGAGTGAATAACGTACATTTCCATTTAATATAACAATCCAGTTTATGGCAGGTCTCACTTGTAGACTGATTTTTTTTTTGTCCAGAGTTCTTACTATCTGTGCATATAAGCATGGAACTGCCTTTTCTTTAGATGATTGTTTGTTTAGATGATAATGGTTTCTTTGGGGATTATGATCCTCCCATAGCATAATAAGCAGCAAGCTATAACATTTGCACATCATAATGTATCATCATATTTTACTTTTAACTCATTTTTGGATACATTTTTTGAAAAGTACCATTTATTCTATGTCAGGTTTCAGAGGAACAGCTGTGTTAGTCTGTATTCGCAAAAAGAAAAGGAGTACTTGTGGCACCTTAGAGACTAACCAATTTATTTGAGCATGAGCTTTCGTGAGCTCAAGTGAGCTGTGGCTCACGAAAGCTCATGCTCAAATAAATTGGTTAGTCTCTAAGGTGCCACAAGTACTCCATTTATTCTATGTTTCTCTTAATAGGCCCTGCATTTAATGCAAGATTGTGGCACACCTACCTGCCTGCACAAAGGATGAGGGGGGACATAACTGAGCACTGCCCCTCTCAGTGGTCTGCAAGTAAACTCTGTCTAGCTCTTAATCAAGAAGAGCCTTCACAGCACTACAAATGGGAAGAATCATACTCATGAAAAGTAAAACTTTGTTAATGTCTTTTATAGTCTGACAGTGGAAGAAGGAAAAGATTCTAATTGACCTTATTTTAGTCTAAGCAAACTTTTTTTTTTAATTCTAGCTGACAAAAAAGCAGCAGTGCAAGGTTGCTTTGGGGTGTTGTTGTTGGTTTGTTTGTTTTTATAGGTGTTCCTTTCAAAAAAAGTGACCTGTTTTCTTCTTTAAAACGTGAATTCTGTGCTTGTGAAAAGGTCTGGACTCACAGCTTTGGAAGTCTGGAATATCCTATTTATCCACAAAAACAAGTACAGCAGCAGTGCAAGTTTCCACACACTGCCCCTCCAACCTGTCTTACTCTGTATTGGGAGGGACCACCCTCTTGGAGGGAAAGAGCATTTCCATCTCCATTCAGCTACAACACATGGTCTTTCTCCCTAGACTGCCAGCAAGGATACCAATTAGTGCTAACTGTGCTTTGGGATGATGAGGATCTCTAACAAGAAACTGGGGCCTCCAACTAATTTCACATGAAGGAAACCACCAAACAGCTGTCAGACTGAGACAATTTTTGGTTGCCACCAATGTGAGCTGGATTTGAACTGGGCACCTAACGATAGAAGACTCATTAACTCATAATACTTAATCCCATGAGCAGACAGTCTTTGGAAAAGTTGCCACACTATTATTCACTTTTACTAACTAATATATGCAGCGTACTGTCCATTAATTGAGACACTTCTGATTTCATTATATTCAGTTATTTTCAGTGAAACATGTTTCAGAATACTGCCTGAAAATATGTTTCAGAATACTGCTTGTGTGTTGTTTAAAAAAACACATTCAATACTATGTAATTAATAATTAACACTTTAAGAAGCTGAAAAAGTCTTCAGAAAAAAACATCATAATGTCATCGTAAAATACCTTTGGCTTTCATATGGAGAAAATTCTGGTTTTTGTTGATGGTGGATGTGACTCTGGCAGTCCAGGTGCCAGGTCATGCCAAGGCGCTAGGCCTAACTGAATACTGAACTTGGGGAAGTGGTGGAGATGGGGCATGGGGCAGAGCGAGAGCAGGAAGAGGCTGGGCAGGGGTGGAGACTTGAGGGAAGGGGTCAGGTGGGGGCGGGGCCGAGGGCTGAGCAGGGCTTTGAGTACCCCCAGGGCCCGGGCACCATCCTCCAGGCCCTGTGCTTGTTCTCTGATGCAGGACCGGCTTCCAAGATCTCCTGGAACATGTCATCCTGAGTCCTTTTCTTTATCCTCATTATCTGGCTCAGGCATTCTGTGGGTGTGGAGGGGGAGACCCTGAAGGCCACAATTGCAGAAGCTGCAGATACAACACACAGAAGTACCATTGTCAGTGTACTCACGACAGAAATCGAAACGTAGGATACTGAACTCACTCCCTTTGATCCCCCAAAGTTGTAAGCCCTACATTCTCACTTCTCTTTCCAATTGATACAGCATGGCACCAGTTATGGCACCAGCCATGGTGAGTATGGCCCTTGGGGGCATAAGGGGTTGGGGAAATGAGTGGGGGATAGCTCACAGGTATGAGTATATTTGTATAGGACAATGGAACTGAATACTGGCACTGTTTTCCACAGGCAGTGGTGATTTGAGCTCATATCTCACTCCTGATGACAACAGAGGCAGAGAAAGCACAGCTGCTGCTGGTGACTAATGCCTCGCGGGTCTGTATGCTACTAGCCTGGGTACTTCCATGGTGCCTACTGAAATAATCACTGAATGATGTGGGAAAGTGTCCTACCGCAGTGGAAGAAATAAGGCAGCCCTCCCAAGAAATCTTTGGCAGAGAGTTGCAGAGAACCACCATGACAGTTTCATCAAGATCTCTACAGAGGATTCCTGGGACATCTCAGTGCACATAAACAAACTGCTCCGTGTGGCCCACCTCTGCAAAACTCTAGAGGGGAATGAGAAGCAGATAGCGACTCTCTCTCTCTCTCTCTCTCTTGGTTGCTTCACTACTACCACAAGTAAAAAAAGAGTAAATCAACAGATGTGCCTTGCTACTTTGGGGGTTCCATCCTGGTAATTTCAAAGCAAACTGCATACTTACCAGAGGGTCCTTCCCCTACATCAGGCTCATCCGTGGTCAACTCTCAGGACTGGCTGGACTGTGGTGGAGTCAAAAACATGTCTTGGCTTGCTGAGCAGGTGGATCCCCCAGTCACCTGTCCCCATACTTCTCCTCTTCTTCCTCATCTACTTCCTCGCTGTTCACAGTGGGGGCCTGTGACTCTAGCTGCTCCAAAGTACCTAGGGGGTTCTTGGGGGTGGTTGTGGGATCTCTGCTGAGGATGGCATGCAGTCCCTTGTAAAAGTGGCAGGTCTGCGGCTCCGCAGATCAATTATTGGCCTCCCTGGCCTTCTGGTTTACCTGCCAGAGCTCTTTGGCTTTCACATGGCATTGATGTTGTTCCCTCTTGTGGCCCTTCTCCTGCATGCCCAAAGCAAGCTGCTTGTAGATGTTGATGTTTCTATGGCTGGATCAAAGCTCTGCCTGCACAGACCCAGGAGATCGAACATCTCCTGTGTACTCTAAGCAGAAGTGTATCTGCAGTGTGTAGCCAGCATAGTCAGCTGCACACAACAATGGAGAGCTGCTAGGTTTGCTCTCTAAGTCAGGCAACCAGGAAAAGGAATTTCAAAAATTTGCGGGGCTTTAAAGGAGACAGGCATCTTCATGTCTACCTGACCCCTGGGCAGCAGAGTTCACAAGTTTGACCAAAGTGGTCACTGTAAGGCATTGTGGGACAGCTCCTGGAGGCCAGTAACAGTTGATGTAAGTAACGCAGTTTGTACACTGACACTGCATCGACCTAAATACATCAACTGTGACTCTGCGCCACTCAGTAAGATTATTAAGTTGGTATAGTGAGGCAGTTATGTTGGTGGGAGAGAATTTTAAGTGTAGACACATCCACAGCTAGGTCGGCATAAGCTGCCTTGTGTCAACTTAGTTTAGACCAGTCCTAAGACTGTTAATTCCCCCCAGTCAGGGGAGAAACATCACCGCATGTGAAATGCTAGTTTACCACAAGAGCTGTTATCTTTTCCCCAATGAAGGAAGCTCTACAGACATCAAACAAATCATTGTGGACAAAAGACTTTGTTGACTGCTACCCCCAACCCTTGAAAAGGGTACGTGCACATGCCCATGTCCTATCACAGCTTGAATGCTGGGGGAAGGGAATAAAAATGCCTGTCAAGGAGAAACTGGTACCTTTATGTTTTCTGGACTCTGAGGGGCAAAGATTCCTAAACGTAAGCAAACGATCCCCAAGCTGCTTGGCTTGGCTTAGCCCTAAAGGACATAAAAGCTTGCTTACAGTAGAAGATTCTATTGCCTTTTGAACTTAAGATTGTACCTCATTTGTGTATACTGTTACCTGATTTAACCTTGTAAATAACTCATTTCTTTTTCTAGTTAATAAACCTTTAGTTAGTTTGTTACAGGATTGGTTACCAGTGTTGTCTTTGGTTTGAGATCTGAGGAACAACTGAGCTGGGGTAAGTGACTGGTCCTTTGGGACTGGAAGTAACCTGAATATTGATGTGACTTTTGCTATAAGCGACCATGTATCACAAAGTCCAGTTTGGACACAAAGGAGACTGTCTGTGACTCCATGGTAAGACTTTAATAGGGCTTTAGGAGTTCACCTTTGTTACTGGGTTGGTGAAATCTAATAATAGAACATATAACCAGTTTGGGGTTTTTGACCTGCTTCTTGACAGTCTGCCCTGAGGATGGCACTCACGGTGGTGAGCTACTCCAGAGAGCATGATACAGGAGTTTTTATTAAAATTCTTTAGTTTAAGTGTACCACCCTGTACTTTTAAACCACTTCAGTTAAGCCTGGAGACTAAGTACATGTAGATTAGTGTCTTCAACTTGGCAGAGAGAGAACCACCTGTAACAAATCTTCTATACTTCAAATTATAAATAAATACATGCCTTTCACTAAGTAGCCTCTCTCTCTTCTACAAAATAGGAGGATCATAGAATCAATGGCAATTTAATTTGCTGTCTCAAAATGAAAGACATATGTGGATGTAGCATCCATTAGTGAGTTCACAGAACACTTCACACATTAAAGTTATTGTCAAAGATGTTTACGTTTGAAGGAAGTTTATATATAATTTTGTTGCTAAATTCATAAGCTTTTTTCCCCTCTATCTTCTGTGTATGGAGAATTTAAAGTTCAAATCTTACACTGGAAGAGCTGTGGAATAGCAAACATCACCAAGTTCACAGTCAGTGTTCCATTCTTTCATTCCATGGGGAGTTCCTATTTCATGTGTTTTTCATTTTAAGTTCTGCTTCCTTGAATGCTATTTCCTCTCGTTTGGTTTTCACGAAGGTCAAAGAAATCTTTAGCAAATAAAAAATGTGAACATCCAGTCGTCTACTGGAAATCTGCCCATCCAGTGTCTAAAGAATATCTAGCTTTAAAGTTAAGGCATTCATATAGGAGCCCTATATATGCTAACTAAAGTGCTACAGAAACCTCCATTGGGATTCTCATTCATAGTTAAATATACAGCAGACTTGCTAGCCATCAGATGTGAGATCCTTTGTCTTGACTAAGTGCTGCAGAGATCAGCAGTTTACCAGAGATTAGAATTCTGGCAAACAAGCCTCTCCTAGGCCCTCTTTATAAAACTAGGCCCAGACCTCCTCCATTGACCTATTTTATATCAGTGTCAAGGTTACAGAGGCCCCTACTTAAGGCAAAAAATTGTAGGAAACCCCATTTATTAAAATTATTAGGCTAATGTTACAATAATATTCTATCAAAACTATAGGAACTAAGACTCCACAAGGCTCTCTCACCATCCTTTTTGCATGTCTGGTGAAAGTTACCTATGGAATGAAAACTTGTGATTTAGTACTCAAGATTATTAACTGCAGCCAGTTAAAACTGCATGAAAATTGAGAGGCACCAACTAACAGCATTTGCTACAGGTGGATATGGGATACTTTAGTAATGGAGCTCACTTGGCTCAGCAAGGACATCTATGGACTTTAGAATGCAGCTTGTCCAGTAATGAATAGTTAATAGCATTTAAAATTTGGACTTTTTTGAAGCTAACTGTTCAGTGGAGTCCAGGGTCAAAGCCAAAAACTTCAGACATTTTTGCCCGTTGGGCTAAATGCATGAGCTAGTAAGAACACCTTATAATTGAAAAGGGCTCAATCCTATAAAGACTTACACACATGCTTAACTTCAAACACTGAGTAGTCCCGTTGATCACTCATTGTGCAAAGTTCAGCACATGCCTATGTCTTTGCAGGATTGAGGCCAAAGTCAGAAACCTTGCCGGATCTGATTAATGTTATATGATAATAAAATGAGCAAAAATCACAGAAAAGAAGAAGAGGTAACTAATGGTTTTATTGGGACAACATGAAACACAACAAGTATGGACTCTGAGTCAAAAGGAAAATGTCTCAGTTATGTGCATAGGCTCACTGGAGTATGCCACATGCACAGTGTCATTGGAGAGAAAGATGGAGGTAGTATGGGAGTATGGTGTGAAGAAGATTTAGCCATCCAAGACAGAAACTGGACAATCTAAGTAGTAGCAGCAGAACAAGAGAACGCTGGGGTATTAAGGAGAGATACAGAATGCTTCCTAGAAGATACGTCCACAGATTTACCAGTATTGCTATTGCAAAGGGAAAGAAGAGGATTTTATCTAGGGAGGTGGATATCTACAATAAAATGTTAAGTAAAAGGTGCAGTAACATTTTACAATCAAGCACTGAGCTTATGAGAAGATGATAACTTTTACCTACAGACAATCATACAAACACCTGAAATCTTTGAGAAATCCATTTACAGGGGCTGCCTCTGCCTGAGACCAAAATTTTCAATTGAACTTTGTTCTGGGTAGTACATAGGACAATAGCTAGGACTGACTGACAAACATGCCGACTGCATGAAAGGTGAAAATATTCAGAATTTTCCCGGTTGCTGAAGAGATGGAAGTTCCAGTGACAATATTTGTACTAAATAATTTTGTCCGGACCTGTTACACAACAATTGTCCAAGATCTGCCACTTCATTCTTTTTTGGACCTGACCCTGTGAGGGGCTCAGATCATTTCCTTGCAGGAAGCACCAAAGATGATGTAATTGCTGCACAAGAGGCTCTTGCATAATTATTCAGGGCATATACTGGACCTTATTTACTATATACTAAGACTACTTTACATCACTTTGGCAATGTAAGGGGACCAAAGCAGTGTAAAGGAAATTGTAGCATAAATGAGAATAAGATCACTGGCCCAGAGTCTCAGTTGGTACAAATCAGTGTTACTCCATTGATTTCAATGGCACTACACTAATTTACACCAGCTGGGAATCGGTCTCTTGACATACTGAACAAGGTCCATGACAAGCACTTTGTTTAAAAATACAGAGCTTGATGTACTGCTTGGTTTTGTGCAAGCTTTCACATCCTGGCAGGAGCTTTTATGGCACCACCATATAAGTCTTATCTGTTCGAGCATCACTGAAGACACTCCTATCACTCCTGCTGCCATAACAGCTTAGAGAGCATCTTGTGTAATTTATTGTCTTTCATCTGCTTGCAAAA